GAGGATACAAGCGTTTCACGTACACGTCCATTCACCCTGTTCTGGCAGCATCTGTTGTGCGCCAGGCCCCATCCTAGGCCCTGAGCCATAGCTGGGGCCGAAGGGTGTGGATGGGGAGGGGGCAGAGAGCGTGCCCATTCCTCTAGGGTTTGCTAATTAATTAGAAGATGGAAGGTTGCTGCTTGGTGGCACTGTTGTAACTTGCGGCCCAGACGGGGAGCAGCGGAGAAAGCGGGCAGCTCCCCACCCAACACCCTGGTAATTGCTGCCCTCACCTCCTCCAGGGCTTTTTGGGTGCATCAAAGGGCCGCCAAGGCCCCTGCAGCTCAGCGCCCAGAGTAAACAGGCTGCAGGCCCACTTCCCAGCTGAGAAGGCTGAGGTCCGAGATGAAGGTTCTGCTTGGGGTGGGAATGAGAGCAGGACTGGTGTCACGGAACTGCTCCTGGCACGACAGCCACGGGCTAGGGTGGCGTTGGGGACAGGGGAGGCTTGACCTTGGCCTCGGCTTGGATGGCTCCTCCTCCGGGAAGCCTGCCTGGACCTTCCGGGCTGGGCCAGGCGCCTGTAACACCCAGTTCCTTTCCCTCTTAGCTGGGATCCCACTCTATTACCACTGCCGCCACCACCAGACTGAGGCTCTGTGAGGTCAGAGGGGGGCCTTACCCATCTTCATGGCCCCAGTGCCCAGCCTGGCACAGAGCAGGAAGCCACCACTGGGAAAAGGAACAGCAGTAAACCACCTGGGTGCCTGGGGCGTTTGCAGACCATGGGCAGATTAAAGCACCTCCGTTTCCCCAGAAGCAATGCTTCTCAGACTTGAGGTGCCCATGGGGTGTGGCAAGTTATGTAACCTCCCTCCTGTCGGTGTTCAAATCTGTATTATGGGATAATAATAGTACCCACCTTGAAGGGTTGTTGAAGGGATTGAGCCAGTAAACACAGGCAAAGCTCTTGGAGCAGTGGGTGGAGCCCAGGAAACCTTGTGTAAGCGCTTGCTGATACCTGATTTGCAATTCCAGCTAAACGTTCCTGCTGTTCTGGGTTGGTTTGTTTTTTTCACTGGTGATGTTAACTTGGATTACTTGGCTACAGTGGTGTTTGGGAGGTTTCTCCACTGTGAAGTTACTTTTTCGTCTCTGGTTGTTTTTTAAAAAAAAAACAACAAAAAAAAACCCAAGCCAGGCTCGGTGGCACAGCCTGTAATCCCGCACCTTGGGAAGCTGAGGTGAGTGAATTGTCTGAGCCCACGGGTTCAAGACCCACCTGGGCAACTTGGTAAGCCCTCATCTCTACAATAAATCAAAAAATTAACCAGGTGTGGTAGCGCGTACCTATAGTTCCAGCTACTTGGAAGGCTGAGGCGGAAGGATCGCCGGAGCCCAGCAGGTCAAGGCTGCCCTGGCCGGAAGCGGCCACTGTACTCCAGTCTGGGCGACAGAGTGAGACTCCAACTCATAAATAAATAAATAAAACAAACCTTGGCCAGGCTCGGTGGCTCAGCCTGTAATCCCAGCATTTTGGGAGGCCGAGGTGAGTGGATTGCCTGAGTCCGTGGGTTTGAGACCTGCTCGGGCCACTTGGTGAGCCCTCATCTCTACAATAAATCAACAATTAGGCGTGTGGTAGCGCACGCCTGTAGTTCAGGCTACTTGGAAGGCTGAGGCGGAAGGATCACTGGAGCCCAGCAGGTCGAGGCTGCGGTGGCCGGGAGCATGCCAACTGTACTCCAGCCTGGGTGACAGAGTAAGACTCCGCTTGAAAAAAAAAACAAAACCTTTCTATACTTCCTTTCTTTGGGAGTCCAGTCCACACTCAGGGTGAGGAAAGTGTCTCCTACAGGTGGTGGGGAGAACCCACTTGACTTATTTGAAATTTATCCAGGCTGGGCTCGGTGGCTCAGCCTGTAATCCCGCACTTTGGGAGGCTGAGGTGAGTGGATTGCCTGAGCCTGTGGGTTCGAGACCCGCCTGGGCAACTTGGCAAGACCGCACCTCTACAATAAATCAAAAATTAGCCGGGCGTGGTAGTGTGCACCTGAAGTTCCAGCTACTTGGAAGGCTGAAGGCGGAAGGATCGCCAGAGCCCAGCAGGTGGAGGCTGCGGTGGCCGGGAGCGGCCACTGCACTCCAGTTGGGACAACTGTGAGACTCCAACTCAAAAAAAAAAAAAAAAAAAAGAAAGAAATTTATCCGTAAGGAAACTGTGTCTGTTCCCCCCATTTATTATTCAATCATGTATTCATATCAGCCTGGATCTGTGTATACTTATTTCATGCTTTGGGTTATCATCACACTATGTTATTTGTCTTATCTCTCTGTGTGCTGTGAGTTTGACCACTGGGAGCTCTTTTGTGGCTCCTGGGTCTGACGTGGCCCCACCTGTTTATCCTTTGAACACTTCCTAAGAGATCATCCTGTATTTTCCCCCCAGAATTGGCCATTTCTCAGAGGAGCCCTGGCCCCCTTTGCTGGAGAAGGGTTTTTAGGAACCAAGGTCTGAGGGCGGGTGTGCGTCCTGCTGCAGGGGTATCATTGCATCTGGACCCCCTAGGAACCAGATCTGGGTTTGCTTTCATGTAAAAATAAAGTCTCCCCTCTTGCCAAGTGTGGGGTCCATCGGAGGCAACAGACAGCGGCCCGTGGGGCTCCAAGCACAGGCCCCCATTGGTGGTGCCCACAGGCCTGTGCAAGGGCCTTCTGTCCATCAGCCTCTGAGCGAGAGAGCACTCGAACGTCCCTCGGGTTGTCCTGCTCTTTGGTGGGGCCGTCAGGTAGCTGAGTGGCCTTGGGACAGGACTTGAGGTGCCCCTGCAGCCCAGAGCCATGTGGATCTGTAAGCTGCAGGCTTCTCCCTGCTGGGCTGACAGCTTTGTCAGGGGCGATGGCCATAGACCCAGCCCAGTCAGAGTTGTGGTGGCCACCTGAACCAGGAAGGCCTGACTCAGCCACCATGCCCAGCACACCCAGGTGGCCCAGCGCTAACGGGAGGAAGGCCAGGCCAGGTGCTCCCTGCCCTCCCAGACTCCACCCAGCCCCAGCCCCGCCCGACACAGGCATGTCTCACTGAGGCTCGGTGGGTCTGGCGGGCCTGGATCCAGAGGAAAGCCAGTTCTCCTGCAGCAAGAGGGAGCCAGGGCAGAGCAGGCCAACCTTGAGACCCCAGGGCCAGCCGAGCGCCCTCCCAACTGCCAGCGTCGCTCCCCACAGCCTGCCTGTACCAGTGACGATAATCATGCCACACCCTGCTTGAAACCTTCAGGGACTCCCTATTGCCCCCAACTTAAAATCCCCACTCCTGGACCTGCCTTACCGGGCCTCTCCACTCCACGTCATGCCTTCACAACACCAAATTGCTTGCGGTTCCGTTGCACAACCGTACGGTTTCACACCCCCACGCCTGAATCACTGGTTAATGCTTCACTGGTTAATTCCTGCCAGTCCCTGAAGTCTCAGCTCTGAGAGCACCTCCTCCAGGAAGCACCTCCTCCTGGGCCCCAGATCATCTCTGCTCACCT